CAGGTCATCCGAGGCGTCGGCTCATGACTCATAAGGCCGCGAGACATAACTTCCCTTCATCCACTGGCTTCAATACCAAATCAGTGTTGACGGTCCAGCCGTGGTATCAACAAGATTTCAGTAAAATTGATAAATACACAGATAATTAGATTATATATATAAATATATATAAAATCGCATGATCCAGTGTGTGTGTGTGTGTGTAGCCTTGTATAAATGAAACAGTCCTGAGAGCTGTGGGAGGTGGGAATCAGCCAGGGCGCAATTTTGCCCTCTGAACATGATGAGAGAAGAAGGATGTGAAAAGCTACTCACACGAAATGCCAGAACATGCCGTCTGGCAGGAATCGCTGAGAACAAGGTCACACATATCGCTGAAAACACACAATGCGCACTAAACACTTTTTGAAAATCACTGTCACTGGCCTGCTCAAAGTTGCACAATTCTTGAGGTGGCTGGCCAGTTGGTTAATACGAGAGTCATAAGCGCTTAAAATTTTACTGTCACTCGTAATTATCCAGTAAAACCGGTTCACTGCGCCATGTTCGTGTTCTGGGTAATAAGTTCAATATACAGGAGCGAACACAAACACCTGTATAGATTTTGTAGGTTCGATTTACTGGATAAGAGATATGTACACAAGGGGAGTAGCGCTCTTCAACCTGTCTGCTGGTCAACTGCTCTATAGGCGACGTATGGCAAGTGACACATTAACAGCTTCCATATGTCACCAGGCACATTAATTAAGCATGTGGGACATGGTAATAACATTGCCACACGCTGCTAGCTAGGCTGAATAAATAATATATATAAATGGAGCACATACATAATATACATACATAATATATAATACAGCATACATAATATACATACAGTTATGATCAAATTTTTTTAAATTATTCAAGCTGCAGGAGATAAGGAAGAATTAATGCAGATCCAAATTAAATAGATGGAATAAGGCCTTGAAGAGTAAATTTCTAAATGTAAAACACTGGAAAGATCCCAAGTTCACAGAAAGTTTAGGTAAGAGACTTAATACCCAATTAGACCAAACCTGCTTCTGCTAAGAAAAGTAGATTATTGGATATTCTAGATAATGAGGCAGTAGGAAAATTACAAGAACCTCTACCTAGTCAGCCCGATTTTAGTGGATTTCAGGATCAGGATGAGGAAGTTGGCTCTAATCATAGTGTTCAGTCACTAGAGCAGGGAGAACCTGTTGAGACTGACTTCATCCTGTCCCCATTTTGGCAACCACTTCCTTAGTATCCTTTAAAACTGCGAGAACCCCTTCACTATTACAACTGTCACTCCAAGCCAGTTTTTCTACCCTTTTCTGAGCAGGACCAGTGAGAAATTTTAGAATATAGTTGACTGACCCTCTACCCTTGTAGCCAAGCAACCTTATGTTACGCTTGGCCTCAGCTATCCACTCACCTACATTAATTTGGTCTAAATTATCAGGAGTCCCCGAAAAAGTCCTGAGCCTCATCTCATGGGCTACCACTTGAGGGAAAACATCAACATGGTCCTCTTTGTGCATAGGCTCACCCCTCTGTTCAGACTGTGAGACCCCAGTTTTCATCTTAACACTCTTAGTGGGACTGCTCACCCCCTGTTCCATCTGGTTTGTGAGTCTTTGCACTTGATTACATAAGGGTAGGATACTTTGATGATACAATTCACTTATCTCCGAGCTTCTCAAGTCGATCAAATTCTCCTCTGGAACGTGATGTGGGGATGGGTAACTCATGCTTGGCTGCTTCCAGATTCGTCCTCCTCTGTGTAGGTAACTGCTTCACCGGTCCAAGCTCTCTCCTCCGCTGTCGATCCTCTGGAGGCGGTGGTGCCGTGCTCCTCCCCGGGTGATTTTGGCTATAATAACTACTGCCTGGGTGCTGCTTGTTCTTTGCTCTATAGGGGTCAATCTCTACTTACTCATGCAAGCAATTGTATACTCCGCATCTCCACCAAGTGTAGCAAAGCACAAAGCAGGGATATGACACACCCTTGTAGTTTTCTCTCATTTATTTACTCTAGAAATCACCTGAGAAGGAAAAGGCTGGGACCTAGATCAGACATAACTAGTTATTATACATTATTACGTTATACTTACAAAACAAGCATCAACTGTTGTCATATTCACATATTGGTACCACACAGTAGTAGGAATTAAACAATAAATAATAAACCCAACCCACCAGCATAACACAGGGGAGTGGCTGCTGTTGTCGACTTACTCCAGGGTGAATGTCTGTAGAGCAAAGCTAGAATTAGCCTTATTCTGGCTTACAGACTACCTTCACAAGATCATCACATTCTTTATATAACATTTATTATGCTCAATCTATCAAACACACCCTATCAGAGCAAGAAATACATGGGACACACCTATTACTGGGCCCACCCGATGCATCTTTGTTATGTAAACAACGCCGTAGCGTCTCTCCACCCCGGGCTGGGATGCATTCGCTCCTGCGCAAATTCCATTTCAAACCCACAAAATATATTTAGGTTTTCCTCCTCGGAGCTTACAAAAATACATATCCATATCAATAATATTCTAAATCACAAAATAATTCTCTCTCGAGTTCCTCATACCACATACAGTTGTACCCCACTTAACGCGGTCAATAGAACCCAGAGGGTCCCGTGTTAAGTGAAATCCGCGTTAAGTGAACAACAGAACATATGGGATTAATTCCAATAGAAACCGGCCCGACCCCCAAACTCCACTTTTTGAAGACACATAACTATGTTGTAGTAAAAATAACATCTTAATTTTATGATGGTACATGCACACAATTAATACTTAAGAGAAATAGAGAAATACAGTCGCCAAGTTAATGTCCATTCAAATAATGGACTCAACTCCCTCCCCCTCTCACACTACACTGCCGGCTCTTCCCTCTCTGAGAAATTTTTTGGGGAAAACCACTAAATTTTAATAAATAATACCTCAAACTAAAGTTAGGATAATACAATTGACATTGCTGGATTCCTTGTAAGACCAGGAATATTTTGAATATAAATGTCATATATTTTGCACAAAAGATAACATAGTTACTCAGAAAATTTTTTTATCTAAAATTTGTATGTCTAATGCAAAATATATGATGTTTATATTCAAAATGATCACCAAATTATAAGAATTCCAGCAATGTAAATTATATTCTGGCCGGGTAATTTGTATGAATTTTATGAGCTAAAACAAATATCTTCAGTTAATAAAAAAAAAAATCTTCAGGACACTATCTGTCAATCAAAGTACCCCACCTTGCCTTCCTCCTCTTCCAACCGCGCGGTCAGTCCCAACCCTCCCCCCCACCCCCCACCAATCATCCCTTCCAGAGAAGAGTGGGTGAAAAATTTAGATTTTAACATTTTGTATTAAATAATACCTCAGATTAAAGTTAGGATAATATAATTGACATTGCTGGATTCCTTGTAAGACCAGGAATATTTTGAATATAAACGTCATATATTTTGCACAAAAGATAACATTCTTACTCAGATTAAACATTTTATCTAAAAATTTTATGTCTAATGCAAAATATATGATGTTTATATTCAAAATGATCATCAAATTATAAGAATTCCAGCAATGTAAATTATATTCTGACCGGGTAATTTGTATGAATTTTATGAGCTAAAACAAATATCTTCAGTTAATAAAAAAAAAAAAATATTCTTCACGGGGTAACAGATGGTCGGTCGGTCCCTCCCTCCCCCCCACCCCCCACCAACCGTCCCAAGGAGATGTGTGGGAAAACCAGAATACTTAACTTTTTTGTAATAAATAATACCTCAAACTAAAGTTAGGATAATATAATTGACATTGCTGGATTCCTTGTAAGACCAGGAATATTTTGAATATAAATGTCATATATTTTGCACAAAAGATAACATAGTTACCCAGAGAAAAAATGTTATCTAAAATTTGTATGTCTAATGCAAAATATATGATGTTTATATTCAAAATGATCACCAAATTATAAGAATTCCAGCAATGTAAATTATATTCTGGCCGGGTAATTTGTATGAATTTTATGAGCTAAAACAGGCAGTCAGGCAGGGTGGCGGGTGGGGCAAATCTAAAAATAGCGTCTCGAGCCGGACACTCACCGCGTATATGTGGAAAAAATCCGTGTTAAGTGAAAGTTCAGCTCTGGCGAGGCACCGCGTATATGATAAAACGCGTTAAGTGAAAACGTAATACTGTGTGTAAGTGAAACCGCGTTAATGGCGGGGTAATACTGTGTGTGTGTGTGTGTGTGTGTGTGTGTGTGTGTGTGTGTGTGTGTGTATATATATATATATATATATATATATATATATATATATATCACTGCAGTGCTAGAGAGTTGCTGTGTGGTGAGGAGCTTGTTATGCGGAGGTCTTGTCTGTTTGAGAGCGCTGGGTAGAATCGACTTCACGGCGAGGCTGTGGGCTAATATACGAGTCCACCGGAAGTAAGCGTCGCTGCTTGGCCGACCCCACGCATTCAGACCGCTAGGCTTGTCAGAGAAACTCACCACGGGATCGGCTGATCAGCGACTAACGGCAGTGGCAGTTGTAGGGGAGAGTATTCACTACAGTATCTTCTTATCTTGAATGGTCCCAAATTGGCCAAGGAACTCAGGGTTGGGAGTATGCAGTCCCATGTGGACAGAATAAGGTTAGAGGGACTAAAGCTGTAGAATTAAAGCTCCATTTTGACTAGCCTCACGGGATTTATATGGATTCAACTGGTTGAGAAGATTGCAATGTATCCATTAGGGTAATGTCTCCTGCTATCATGAATTGCACACCTTGTGATATTGTTCACTGTTGTGATATGCTCAGAGTGGTATGTGTAAGTCATACATAAGTCTTTCTTGTTCCCTCTACCAGAGAATAGGATTTTGTACTCCAATCCTTAATCTTCGGAGTAGAAATTAGGTTTGATTAATGACTAAGTATTATCTAATGTTAATTATGTTTTTTGTTTTGTTTTCAGAAGACTACAGAATCTTCAGCTTAATGGATTAGATGGTATAAAGAATATAAAACTTCTCTGCTTACTCCTTGAAGATGTTCTTCCTAATCTACAGATTGAGGGAATTCAATATATGGATTCAAAGCAAGAGCAGCAAACATGATTAATAATAGTATTGTAATTCATTTAACTCATGTTATAAAAATAGTAATAGTGTACAGTACTGTATTTATAATATAATGTAATTTAGGTCACCACAGTAGTGAGGGCACAATTGACATTTTTTTAAAATAGAGAAAAAGGTGACTTTCGAGAAACACTCATCAGCACATGTGGGGGCCTACCTGCCTTGCTGGTAGTAATTTTTTTGGTCATAAGACTGGTATATGCCTTACCTTCTTTACAAAGCCTTTTTGCAACAATACTTTTCCTTGTGTGAGGCCTGCACAGACGTTTATGGCCCCGTGATGGCCCAGCCTCAGGTTCACTCGCCTCACTTTCACTCACAGCAGGTGCTGGGTCATCCACATACGACACACTTTGTGATCAAGGAAAACTTATCAAAACTTGCTGTAGTGGTAACTCGATTTCGGGCACGGTGGCATTTGTGCCCTTACTACGGCGGTGGCTTCACTTTAATATTGAATAAAAAGTTGTTACTCACATCACACTGTGACATCCATGTGATTCAAACACCATGATACCACATATATAACATTTTTAGTATTGTAACCTTTGGGTTATCATGAGTGGCCTTCAAGAGAATCTGTCTGTCCTCTGGCCAATGTGACACGTTCAACTGCTTAGCCTGGCAATCACCGGGGATGGGCAGAACCTCTTGCGCAGCCCTCATGGGTCACATGTGTTATGCCATTCCGAGATTGTGTCATCATATCTCGGAATTATGCAGTTATTGCCCATCACAGTTTCATAGCAGTGACAACGCAGAAAAAGTTATTCAGGTAGCGACCATTGTAAAACTGATCTTTAGCCATATCAGAGTGGTAAATGGTTTTAATTTTTTAACATCATAAAACTGATTAAGCAAATATTGATTCATCGCATTACGGTCTTTGCCTGTAGTGTAGTGACAGGCACACTACCTGACTTACAAAGTAGCCAGATTGTCTGTGCAGAAAGTGAAAATTAATTTGAAAATATTTTATTTTCTTAGCAAATTTAATTTGGAATTGAAAATAATACATGTGCAGTGCCGTGCCACTTATGTATAAATAATACAAAGATGGCAAAATATGTCTCAATTTATTGAACAAACTACAGGTACACCACCGATTTTCCAGGAACTGATGGTCCGACACCTCTTTTAGTCCGGACAAAATTACGAGAGGGCACTTAACTTCCCTCCCTCCCTGCCATATTTCACTGGATTTACTGTTATTATTAGTGTTTACTGATATAATAATGCTTAATCGTGATTAATCATGGCATTGTAGCCAGGTTAGAATCATCACTGCAACCACCAGGCTACTGGGCCAAGCTGTGAGGTATTATGGTTGTTTTTCAACTCGTATTTTCAAGTAGATATACGTAACTTTCTTCATTTATTTTTACTCATTTACATGCACACACCATCTTAAATACATATTGTAAAAAATAGTAAAAGAAATAATTGTCGTAAGGGCAAACCTGTACTCAAATGAAATAAGTTAATATCTAAAAATTTTATGTCTATGTACTTAAATTAATTGCTATCTTGTAAGAATTCCAGCAATATAAGTTATATTCTACTAGGTCAATTCAGTGACACTGAGTATCTGTAATACTGGTACCAAGATATGGAAAGGGACAAAAGTGGACACTGTAGGAGAATATTACCCCAAACATACAATAAAAAATGATTTATTAAAATAATGCTAGACTTATGACTACTTCCAGTAGCACACAACTACCACGATCATCTCCATGGCTCCACTCAGATATTTTTCAACTAGGTACAGTACATCTTCCAACATACACCATTACTTGCTGTACCTTAAAAAAAACACAACACTATAATCATACATATAGTACACTTGAGCACCATCAATACAGGTTACTTGAGAAATTGCTCTTGCCAGTAACATAGCAGTGGTAGCACCACAACTGAATACCTCCTTGGGCTCCTTGTTACATTTGCCAAGAAAAATTAGCGACCCTCATAGTATGTTGACTCCAAACACCCATTCAACTGAGGAGATTACATACAGGGATACTTGGATGAATAACACACCCAAAGTAATCTCTACTTAGAGGTGGACTAATTCAAAACAACACTGCTATGAGCTGGTCGTGTTTACTTCTCTTGTGAGATCACCAGGTGGACGGTGAATTCTGGCCACCTCTGAGCGGCTGGCTGAGAGCACATAATCCGTGTTCACGACGTTATCTACTCCCAAATACTAGTGTGGATGTTGTCCTGGCCTACCAAAACCTCCCTTGGTCTATCTGGCACCTATTTACAGAATGGGGTCGTGCTTTAGTGTGAGGCAGTGAGGTCAGGACAGTCTGCCTCACTCTCACAACCCCGAGTTACCAAGTTTAAACTTACACGTCGGCAGGTGAAAATGAGGCTAAAAGCTTATATTAGTTTTCTAAGATTAACTTTTTAAACTAAGCAGTGACTGAGCTTTGAAAGGCAAGAATTAAACTGATGTCAAGTACTAAGAAAGGCAGTGTACTATGGGCAGAGCTTTGCAAGCAGATAACAGATTTTCCGTTATATTCCAGCGATAAGTAGGAGTTTTGTTTACATTTCAGTACACTATGTATTTTCTATAATACAGGACTGACAACAATTTCTATACTCTCATTGGATTCTTTGATGTTCATAGATCAAAAAGATATGACTTCAATTTTGAAATGCTATCGCATAAGTTCACACGAAACATAATGATTTACAGCTGCCAAATGGGCACTCAAAACACATCGTCTTCACAATATATACTCTACACCTAAAGGTATATGATGCCTTCAACATATACTCAATACCCTAGAATGCTTTCTCTCACAGTAAGTAAACACCATTCACTGTACAATAAATTAATTCACTCAATTTCAAATCCTGGACACCATATGAGGTATTAAGAAATACCCGAGTCCTTGAGGCAGTACAAGAGAGAAAACGGATGATTAAGACGCCCTGAAGTGGGGGTAAAACAGACGTCTCCACTGGTGGACTCAAAAAGTTTCACACATGTTTTGTGGGCGGTGGAGCTTAATGTGGATAATAAAGTGTTGAACGGACTAACCATGCTATTGTGACCATGACAGCAGGTGCCTCTACCACACAACTAGGCAAACTTCCTTGCCCTCAATGAAAACAAACAAGATTTGACAAACTTCTTCTCCAAGGAAATAATTGCCAATGCCCCAGATAACAAATGTTTGGTACTTGCAAGAGGATTTGAGAATGAGCAGGAAGTACAGTATTTAAAAAATATCAATGTTTCTGGACTATCAGCCAATCATGAAGAAGCTGACACAAGAGTAGTCTTACATGCAATGCATGCTGATGCTGACACTGTAATTGTATCTGCAAGGGATACAGATGTTTTGCCTCTCTTAGTTGCACATTCTTTTCAAATATCAATAAACAAAATTTGGATGATGGCTGGAACTGCCAAAAAACAATGTGTTATCCCTGTAAGGGATGTTGTTGCCAATTTACCACCTGAATGCTTGCCATCACTCCTGCATTTCATGCAACTATAGGATGTGATCATGTGACACTACATCTAAAGTAAGTGGCCACACCAAAAGGTCTGCATGGGCAGCATTCAAGTATTATTATGCACTACTCCGTGGTGAAGGAAGCAGAAAGGTTTATTTGTAAGTTATACAAAGTAAAAGGAGATGTGGAATCAGTAGATGAGGCAAGACTGAACTTGTTGGGAAAACTGATGTGTTGAAACTCTACCTCCAACAAGTAATGCCTTAAGATACCACATCAGGAGAACTCATTATTTAATCACTGATTATAAGGAAGCAGACAAACAGAGCAACACCTGATATTCCATTGCCAGACACCATGGGATGGGCACTGACTGACGAAGATCTGTTGCCTGTTTTGATGACCATAGACCCAGTGCCAAAGAGGTTAATGGAGATGATTTCATGCCAGTGCAAAAGTGGCTGTGGAACACTACGTTGCAAATGTTGGAAGAATACCTTGGTATGGACTGGAGCATACAAATGCGTGTTTGTATAAGCCTAAGATAATCTGCATCAATAAAAACAATGATTAACTTTGTGGGCATTTCATGCAGTTTGAGAAAATTTAAAAAATATGCAGATTGTATACTCTAACATAAGTTGTATTATACCTAATATTTGTAAACTCATAAATAATTCTGGCACACTACTTTGTGCATAAATACATAGTGATCCCTCGGTTAACGAACGCCTCTGTTAATGAAATTTCGGTTAACAAATTACCTTCCATAAGATTAATCAATTCGGTTAACGAAAAAAATTCGGTTAACGAATTCCTTACGAATTTTTCACAACATGCTTACTCCTGCTCACCAGCTGTAGTATTAGTCTGCCAATACAGTAATCGGTTTTAGGGCTTAAATTCGTTACCATTTGAGTAAATATCAAGAAGGTTGTACTATTCAATAATTTTCCAAGTCTTATATTAAAATTTTTAGTCATTTTAATAATTATTTAACAATTGAAGTACAGGGAACTAGTTTTTAGTGCACCAAACAGTCACTTGACTCCCCCAGAATGGCGTCAGTTTGTGTCTGCTCAGTGGAGGAAGCATCTTGCTTGAGACGCTCTTGAACATAAACTATTTTTACGTTTATACAGTACAGTATAGTTTTGGTTAACACGTTTGGTCATTTACGCGGTGCCTTGCCGGAATTGAAATGCTTTAATTACGCGGTAAATTTGGTCATTTTCGCGGAGCGGCTGGAAAGGTCCAGACACGCCGTGCCATTTTTTATTCACGTGGCCCATGCTTGACCATAAGCGGGAAGCGGCGCGAGTAAGGTTGCGCAGTGTGTCGCTGTTGCATTATCGCTGACGTTATATGACATATCGGACTGTGATTGGGCCACGCATCCTTACCTCCCTCCCCTGCTAGCTGTGATTGGTTTAATGTAATATGACATGCCCTGCCACGGGAGGGAAGAAGCCGTTGACCTACCCCACGCCAGTCGCATTTATAATAAGACAGAACTTGCATAGAAGAAGATTACATATAAGTAGGAAGTATAGAGAGTAGTATTGTAAAGATAGGAACTTGGGTAGAGTGGCCGGGATGTTATTTACTCTTGAGTCAATACACTTATCTTATATGTCAATACACATATCTATTCTTCTTAAGGGACAACTTCTCAAACACCGCTTCGATACAACTATTTATTAATTCACTCAATGACATGAACACGTTAATATCATCAATATATCGGGGTATTAGCACATTATGTTTTACGTTACTCGATACTGACTCTCGGACACAACATGAATGAATACACTTCCCACAGTAGGAAACTCACCCTAGAGATAGTTCTGACAATGACTCACGTGTAACCTGACGTAGGCCCAGTGGGTGTTGGCTGTGCTCTCTTATGCGAGTCTCTGCTTAGCTGGGGTCTGGTCGGGAAGTCCCCCTCCCGACCTGGGGGGAGAGGACGAGTGTGACTCTGTGCGAGTGACCAGA